CTACATAAAATGCTACCAAATGTGTATGGGGAAGCAAAAGAAGAATCTTGCTCTTGCTTTAACATCCTTTTTCAGCTCTGGTAGCTCTAGCTGTTGTAAGGAGCAAGAGTTCTGTACAAGGTGGGAGCCGCCTGGCTTTTTCGTTATAATTTCTTGCAGTTTTTGAATCATAGAGCTGAAGTTTGCGCTAAGTGCTTATCCTGGTACAGAATGAAGTATACCATAGCTCCGGGCTAAGACATTCCCAGTGTGAGTGAGAACAGCCGACCTCATGCTTTGACCTCCACAGGACCTAAGTGGATTTATTCATGTGTTTAAAGTCAGCATATGCTTCTGTACATTGCTAAGCCACAGCCTTGGTGACAAACAACTCAAGATTAACTATGTAACAAGGGTGACTAAGTTAAGGGTGAATAATAAAATTTCACTCGGGATATCCAAACTGCTACTATGCAAGGTGCTGGTATGGTGTGAAAACAGCTGGGAAGGATGGGTCTGAGGTCTTTCCAGTACTATAACTCTGTATTTCCCAATAATGTATTATGCTCTGATATTCCGGGTGGGGTAAAACATTTTTTTCTAGCATTCAACTGTGATAGTCACTTCTGTGGTGGGTTGGGGTTGTTTTTTTTCTTTTTTCTGTGTGTACGCAAGATTAAGTTGGTGCAATTAAGACGTCTATGATGTACAGATTTATTATATCACTAAAAAGCCTGAGGATTTTTTAAAGAAATAACTACTGCTGTATATACAATAAAAGCCAATTGTCTCTGTGTAGCGTGCTGTCCTACATACCTAGTCAGGCAAGCGTGACAGATGGTTTTCTGCTCTCCTTCACTGATTTGACCTGTTGCTTAACACGGTCCATTTACCTGTTTATTCAGGAGCAGAGCTCTCCACCTACGCTGCGCTGGCACTGTGGGTTGTTTCTGATAACCCCAGCCATATCAGGTTCTTGTTCCTTGAGAAATCGCCTGAAACACAGGCTCGGTGGGAGTCTAATGGAAGAAGGAATTGTGGAACTCATTGTAGTAACTCATTATTTTTTCTCTCAGTTATGTTGTATTATCCTGAAACCAGTTGTAATTTGGGGGGCAAAGGGGGAGGAGTGTTAGGGCCTAGATCTTACATATATCCAGTATTAAAATGAGCACAGCCAGGGAATAAGGTTCTCTTGTGATCGTTTTACTCAAAAAAGTTATGTTCTAAATCAATGCTGCCACAAAGCCCTACCAGACTGAGGGGAAAAAAAACCCAACACCAAAACCAGGCATTAACACAAAAATAGCCATGATAATGTTTTTATTTCCCTTCCCAAAGTGAGCACTTTACCTTCTTTTGTAAGGAAATTGTACATTACCTCACTGCCCACGTTTCTATGCCCATTTACTTCATAAAGTGCTTAGCTGCAATGTCCTAACAGTCTCCCACCAGACCTTCTTAATTTTCCTTCCTGCTTTAATTGTGGGTAAGGTTTTTTAACTTGTGTGATGCCATTTGTGTACGCTAGCAAAAGTGAAAAGACCTATCAGAGCGAGAGCAG